TGTGTGTGTGTGTGTGTGTGTGTGTGTGTGTGTGTGTGTGTGTGTGTGTGTGTGTGTGTGTTGTCTTTTTAGAAATCCACTAGAGGGCGCAGTCTGATCTGAGGGCCTGCCAGCTTGATTTAAGCAGGAAACTGTCTGTTGTTTTTGCCAGGCTGTCTGCTGTGGGTGTGTGTGTGTGGAGTGTTTTAGTTTCTCCCGATATGAAGCACTGAGGTCCAACAAAAACAACATGCAGAGGAAGGGGTGAGGGGCAGACTGGGGCAGGGCAAAGGATTACGGGGGCATGAAGAGCAACCTAGTCGCCTCATGTGCACAGCAGGAGCTCGTCACTGACTTTATGCAAACTTCAAATTCATACGATAATTTATGACTACAAGTAATATTCCAACAAATATAAATGGCGTGAGTAATAATGCCAAAATATGAACCATGACTTTGCTTATTATAGCTTGCCTTTAAAGTACTTTTTCAGTGAGCCAGTGAATTAATCATTTAACAGGTGCTTTGAGGAATATTCAAAACACTTCCCATGAGGAATCTGATTTAGTAACATATGATGAGCATTTTTAGTATATAATTTAAAAAATAAAGGTTGCAAAAGGCAGTTTTGCAGTGATGCCATAGAAGAGCCAATTTGAAACAGTTCTTAACAACTGAAGAACATTTTAATAATCTAAAAAAACAATGTTCTATTCACTATAAAGAATATTTTGTGCTGTGGAAATCTTCCCTAGATGTTAAAGGTTCTTCCTGGAACCATCAATTCCAAAAAAAATTATTTTATTATATTTTATTTTATTATTTATTTATTTATCTGAACCTTTATTTTAAGAGTGTATGTAAAACAACTCTATGTGTGTCAGTCTGTTTGATATATCAACATTCATTTATTTCTAATAACCAAGACCACCTGAAAGATTTTGGTTAGTATTATTCAAAGTCAGTACTAAATCTAAATCTAAAGATGTTTACGAACCGAAAAAATAAAGATCATACCACAGATGCAGTGTTCTAGAAAGCTGTGATGCCAAAACTGATGCCACAAGATTTCATTCTCATGGGCATGTGCAGACAGTATCCTCAGAATAAAAAGTGAACATCCATTTATTCAAATGTATGCTTTGCCATAAGTGGCACTATTCACACATTTTTTATCTAATCTGATGCATTTAAACAAATTGGTCAGAGGTGCATTACATGCCTCTGTTGTCTTTACATTAGTCCTCAGTCACACATTTACTTCACACTGTCAGTGTTATATAAGCTATAATTCATATTATTCCTTCAAAATGGTTACAATCCTGTAGCACTTGAGTAGAAGACACTGGCTCATTAAGTGACTGAGAAGATCTGCAGATGATCTCATCAGTGTTGTGGAGAGTGACACTCTGATAGGTTTTGATTAATGGATTTACACACTGATCCCCCTAAATGTGATTGCACATTAATTTATGGAGTTCAGTGTGTGAAACAAGATTTGTATGTGTAAACAGTGATGAAGATATTTATGAAAACCGATTTAACAGAGAGCTCATGAGAACTTCGTCTGTAGAGCATCTCAGATGTATAAATTAGGTGTAGCCTATAGTTTTCCTGTTTGTTTTGAATGTGAATTGCTCCCTATTCAGCCTAAGCTATTTCGCTTTAACTGCCTTTTTTTCAGGTGCTGCACATTGGGTGTAACGCGTGAACAGCGCGTCCTTAAGAAACTCGTTAATGTCAAATGCGTCGTTTCCTTTTGTTTTTTGTTTATTTTGCGAGTTTGTGTCTGCTATTACCATGCAAATAAATGCAAGAAAGAGAATTAAATTCACACATATCCAAATCCTTTGCTGACATGTGATCTAATCACTAAAGTCACTCACTGAGCGCTTATGTATTTTTTTTTGTTTTGTTTTTTTATTAGACTCGCTGAATTAATTGGATTTTACGATTCATCCGAGGAGCTCTGTTTAAAGGGTAAAGGGACGAGGGTAAAACTTTTTTAATGCATAAATCAGTCATTTTCTCAGTAGTTCGCCACATTACATATGTGAATAGATATCAATTTAATAGATTAATTAATTTAGTTTCATGGAATATGTTCATCAATTTTGTATTAAGTATAATATAATGTAACAACATTTAGAACGAAACAGGTCTGTTTATGTTTCTCGTTAAGAGTTTGAATGGGCATGTAAATCTCTTCTTCATATTAAAGAGGCTGCAGTGATGTGTTGCAGTGGACGCAGAGTGTTTGAAGTGAATGAATGTCACCTTCATGTAATGTTTGAGTGAGAGGAAATCACAGAGCAATGCCTCTTTTACATTATCATTTGGTCCCAGGCTCTGGTTTCACTGGGAACCTGTCTGAAACCTGTTTAGGCATGTTTAGTTGCATGTTTAATTTAATTAAGTTTAATTTGTGCCATACAGTCAGGTACCGTCCAATTTAAGCAATAATTAATAAAAAGATTAACACTTACAGTGTGATTCATAAAAAATAATATAAATAAATAAAGAAAAACAGAAGGCTAGTTCAGGTATAAGAATACACACATTGTCAGTGCAGTTAAATTATTTTACACGCATTTTTTCCAAAATGAGGCTTTGAACTCAAAAACTTTTAGGGCTGCTTTACTATAACACATCTTTTCATTATTATAGCATCTTTATTTCCATTCATTTAACTCGCAATAATTTCTGTCTCACTCGATTTAATAAGTCCTCTCAATTTTATTCTTCATTAGTAATTAAATTCAAATGTTTCGAAAAAGTACAACGAAGTTTTACATAAAACTTTCAGGAAGCAATTAAACCTAAGCATATTTTAGAAACAAAATATGCTAGCCTACTGAAAAATAAATGTAGCCTATTTATTTTTAAATTATTTATTTGGCCAGGATGTTTAAGTATGCTTGACGTGAATGAACAAATGTTTACTATGTGGAAAAGTTAACATCCATTTAAATTCTGCGACTGCAACTCTGCGTTGTTTCTTCTCATTTTTTATTTAAAAAGTTCCATAAATGAGACGTGACGTAAAAAAAATTTTTTTGTCAGACAATTTAAGTTAAATCTAACTTGAAAGACGAGCGGGCCATTACTTTTTCATTAAGAAGAAAAACAAGGGTTAAGCTCACTTTGTTGACACTCGCTCCTGCCGACTGCGTGGCCCAAGGGTGGAGGGGGGTGCCGTGGTGGGTGGGAGTGTGTGTGTGTGGGGGGGCTGGCTGGAGACGATATATGGGATATATGGGTCCAATGGGAGGGGTGAGAAGTCTGGAGTTTAAAAAGACAGGGCACTTCTACAGACGCGCCTCGCGGACCTGACGTTCGTCATCACGCTGCCGCTGTGGGCTGTGTACACCGCGCTGGGTTACCACTGGCCGTTCGGCGTGGCTCTCTGCAAGATCAGCAGCTATGTGGTGCTAGTAAACATGTACGCAAGCGTTTTCTGCCTGACCTGTCTGAGTTTTGACCGCTACCTTGCCATCGTCCACTCTCTGTCCAGCGGGCGGCTCCGGTCCCGGGCCACCATGCTGGCGTCGCTGGGTGCCATCTGGTTCCTCTCGTGCCTGCTGGCCGTGCCAACTCTCCTGTTCCGCACTACAGTGAATGACGCCGGGAACAACCGCACCACCTGTGCGATGGACTTCAGTCTGGTCACTCTCAATCAGCATCACGAATCCCTTTGGATTGCAGGTCTAAGCCTTTCGTCCTCCGCTCTTGGTTTTCTTCTGCCTTTCTTGGCCATGACCGTCTGCTACTGCTTCATCGGCTGCACGGTCACCCGGCATTTCAGCCACCTGCGCAAGGAAGACCAGAAGAAGCGTCGTCTCCTGAAGATCATCACTACCTTGGTGGTGGTTTTTGCATTCTGCTGGACGCCTTTTCATGTGCTGAAGAGCATGGATGCGCTGTCATACCTAGACCTGGCACCCACCTCGTGCGGCTTCCTAAACTTTCTGCTTCTGGCTCATCCGTATGCCACATGCCTGGCGTACGTCAACAGCTGCCTCAACCCGTTCCTCTATGCCTTCTTTGACCTGCGCTTCCGCTCGCAGTGCCTGTGTCTGCTGAATCTGAAGAAGGCCATGCATGGGCACATGAGCTCCATGTCTTCAACCCTCAGTGCCCAGACTCAAAAGTCGGAGGTGCAGTCGCTGGCCACCAAAGTGTGAGGGAACGAAATGAGAAGAACAGAAATCATGAAGTTGAAGAAAAAAAACATTGGGTTGAGGGGTTAAAAAGGTGGAAATCTATAATTGACGGCTGGTCCGTTCTGATGTGGTGAACTTATGGACTTTGGAGAAAATATTTCTCTATGTTGGTAAATAACACTCATAGTTTGGTGTACTCTACTGTATTCATGGATGGATTGCTGGAATGATGTGACTTTGTGTGTCTGCATGTGTGAATTCATGTTCGTTGACATCTATTCGTCGACTTTGACTCGCTCAAAACACGCACACGCAGAACTATTCAAGCAAACAGGAGGCCAGTTTTCTCGAAAAACATTCAAAGTGAGCACAGTGATGCTGCACTGAGGATGAACTTGCTTGTGCTGCTGTAAGAGTGTGTGATTGTGTTGAAGCCTATATACACTGGTGTAGAGATGCAAATTGTACAGTATTTTCATACTATTTCTTTCTGCTAAGTTGCAATGTTCAGACATGTTCACATTCAGTATTTGTAGCACTTGTTAAAAGGAGATATAAAAATTATAATTTTCGTTAAACTCCCTGATGTGAATGTGTGTGTTTTTTGATGAGCGAATCAGTGTGTGTGTGTGAGAGAGAGAGTGTTCTAGTGCAAAGGTGATGCTGCTTGATTAGATAGTTTAAAGTGCAGACAGAGAGTCAGGGTTTGGAGGGGTGGGCAGACAGACAGATGGCTGGTGACAAATGTCTCTGGGAAAAAAGGAAGACAAGTGGAGGAAGGGAACACATTTGGGGGTGTGAATAGGTATATATTCATGAAATTATGTTATATTTTTGAAATTTCTGTAACTAACTACTGCTACTGTATTAAATATGTTCCTTAAATACAATACCGTCTTCGCGTCATTACACATGATTATGGGTATGCATTGGTGTGTGCAATACAGTTTAAAGGGAGTTAACATTAATAGTCCATCCATCCATTTTCCAAACCACTTGTGAAAAAGAAGTATGTTTAATTGTATTGAATGTGCAATTGTAGTGTACTTCAAATCTTAAAAGTGTATTTAACAAAAAAATGTACTTGAAAATAATATAATATTAATGGATCAAAGGCCATTTAGGTGCACCTAAAGGAAGTACACTTTCATGACTGTGTTTCATAACACACTTGAGTGCATTTTTTAAAAACCATACTTTATAAAAATGTCAAACTAAAGGTTTTATTTTAAAGTACATTTTAAATCATTGTGTTTTATTAATATTATTTTGTTTTGCTTTAAAGTACACTTATTTTTATATGTTGACTAACTGATGCACATGTAAAGTGCTTGATTATAATATAACTGTATGTTGTTATTTGACATTACATTGAAAATTAATATATTAATATGTAATTAATATATCATTTATTAAAAGTATGCTAAAGTGTACATCTTTTTCACAAAAGGATGTAGGGCTGCAGTACATTGATAGCACTGTATCTAAATTAATTCTTGTGTGAGTATGTTTGAATGTGTCAAAACAACAAAAACGCATAAAACTCAAAAAAGTACCTCTGGAATCCAGGGTTGTAGATGGACTAAAATGTTTGGTGAACAGTGTTGTGAGTTTCAAATATTTAAATAAAAAATATATATATCTTGAAATAAAATAAGAGAAATCAATGTAAAGGGTGGGGTGATCCGCCCATTAAAGACCAGTCTTACAGCACTGGAACATACACATAACGTATGGTCTAATTAATAGTGACATTGTGAGGCCCCTATGACTCCAAAAGAATGAAACACGATGGGCACATATCTGTTTGAAGCCAATTTGGGGCAAGTTAAAAATTATTTTTGAAAAGATGACCGTTAAAAGAAGGGGGAAAGGGACGCGACACACACACACATACAAGGACATCAACCAGTAACAACAGAACTGACATGACCAATAGGATCCAGACACTTTCAGATCAAAGTGAGCAGAGAAACGAATAAACGGACAGAGTAACAGAAAATGAAGAACTTGAGCACTGGCTAAAGAGTTCCCATGATAAATATCGGCAGATTGTTTTTGGCAGACTGTCTGATATACACACTGTCTGGAAGAGAGATATGATGAGGTAATCTCATTATCTGGATAAACCGGACCAGTGATGTCATCTAAAAAAAAAAAACATAGCAAACCGTAAAAGCCCAATGTGCTCGTTTTTCACAAATGCACAAAATGCTAAGCAGCTAATTCACATTTCTGTGACACTTTACTGTAATTGTAATAGTATAAAGTAAATGCAGATTGAATCAAGTATATTTACATGTAATCAATGCTTTTATCCACAGTGATTTAAAAATGAGGAGCATCAAAGCAATTTATCTTAAGAACAAACAATATTTGAAGTCCACAATACCGAGTTTTACACAAGCTTTAGCAAAACTGATATGCATAAGAAAGTAGAGAAAAAGAACATCACGTGATGTGGTAAATACGCCTATATAAAATGTATGTGAATTTTATGTTGAATGTAAAGGATTATGTGTTAAAGGTTCTCAGTTACAATCAGATCTAATGGGAATCTCATGTTTCAGGGCCTTTGTGGAAAGCATATCAAACCAAGCCTTCCAAAAGGCGTTTCAAATTAAAAGCTAATCACAACACACTTTTCTTCACTCCTTTGACAAATCTTCCGGCACCCATTCACCACCCCAACTGCACATTTACTTCATTAATTAGGTCCAAGGGGAAATAAGTCTCATGCTTCTGCCCATAGAGACTGTAAGATAAACCAGTGAATTATCATTTTTCCCATAGAATAATAGGTGATTTGAACATGTGGACCTGAGAAAAATCTCATGCTGAACATTTTGATGATTTTGCAGTGGCCTTTCAGTCAGATTTTCAAATACAGAAATACAATTAAATTCAAATAGCCTCTCTGTGAAAACAGCAGCAGGTGCTGCGCTACTATAGTGCTTGAGTGTGTAGCCAGGGCTGTTTAAAACCATTAACCTTGTCACAAAGTAAGATTATGATATACATGCATGTATGTGTCCCAGCTGCTAACCTTCATAATAAAGAGCAGAAGTGCATACCCTCTGTCATCACTACTCACCCTCGCTAATATACCCAGTCCTCGACAGGTGTGTTTCCTCACTGGCTTTTGCAGTCACTTGGGCAATCTGTGTCATGCCTTCAAACTCAAACTGAACAAATGTCAAAATGCACCGCAATGGACAGACCTCAGGAGGCTTGGGTGCACTCTATCTGACCATATTCTCATTCCTGGAAAAAAAAAAAAGATGTTAACTGAATGAAGTACTGCAATGCAAGGTCAATATATTTAGTTGTGTCAATATGTTTTATATTAAAATGTTTCCTCCATGTTGTATCAAACTATGGAAACCATTTATGATATACATGCATGTATGTGTCCCAGCTGCTAACCTTCATAATAAAGAGCAGAAGTGCATACCCTCTGTCATCACTACTCACCCTCGCTAATATACCCAGTCCTCGACAGGTGTGTTTCCTCACTGGCTTTTGCAGTCACTTGGGCAATCTGTGTCATGCCTTCAAACTCAAACTGAACAAATGTCAAAATGCACCGCAATGGACAGACCTCAGGAGGCTTGGGTGCACTCTATCTGACCATATTCTCATTCCTGGAAAAAAAAAAAAGATGTTAACTGAATGAAGTACTGCAATGCAAGGTCAATATATTTAGTTGTGTCAATATGTTTTATATTAAAATGTTTCCTCCATGTTGTATCAAACTATGGAACGATTTTTGCTTCATAGTAAAAAAAAAAAAAAAAAACTTTATATCTCACATTTGCAACTTTATTTCTTATGGCTTTATATTTCCCACTTGTCACTTTAAATTGCTTTCACACTTATTATTGTTTGGTCCAAACCAGATTTGTATTGCTCCCCCCTACACCATGATCCTGCAATACTGGAGACTGCAGTTTCAGGACCACATTTTAGGACTGCATTTCTAGGACCTGAATTTTTTTTTGCATGTACTAGCAGTTTATACTATTTTATGGCACTTGATATTCAGTTCTGTATTTGTAATATTAGGAATGATTTGCTGGTTTAATTGTCTAAATTTAATTGACATATTCTCCTAGCCAAGCCCTAACTCTAACCGTTGGTAACCCTCTTAAAGATTTTAACTAATTTGTTTCAATTTTCTGTTTATTGATTGTGTGCGACCTCCAGACATGTTCACAAGTCCCCAAGGTCCGGGTTTCTGCTTCATTAGCAGTCTGGTGTGTGGCCCGCTTGACAAAGTGCAGTAAATGGTCAAAGTGTTTGTGCAGCAAAGTAGCATGTTTATGATTACGATAATAAATAAATTAGTAAATAATATGATAACAAATACCAGTTTGCAACATCAAGCAGCAGTATGAACTGTTTTTGCACAGCTAAAAATGGAAGCGGCTGAAATGTTTAAAAAGGCCATGCTTGCGCTTACGTTAAAAAATAATGTTGAAGGATAATAAAAATAATAATAATAATAATAAAAAAACTGAATCATTTTTGTTTGTATCAGTTTTAAATGAACTCTTCTTGAGTTGGAGTAAAAGAGTTGCCTAGGCGTCACTGTCACAAAAAAATTAGGGTCCTAGAAATAGGTTCCTGAAACTGCAGCCTCTGGTATTGCAGAATTATACTATTGCCTCCACTTGCTCCACTGGATCCCACTGGCCTTTTTTGATTCAGAACCATGAAAGCTGCATCTGCTTACCCCTATTGCTAGGTAACCACTACAGGAGAACATGGCAAAAAAAAAAAAATCCAAATGACATTTTTCACATGTATAATTCTATAAACATTTGTGTTTTATTGTCAGGCCTAATGCTGCTGTCATACTGAGTTCTCTTCCAGTTTTAAGGACAGACAGACACCAACTGTTCTCATCATGTACCCGCACACACTCACATACAGAACGCAGACAGTGAGTGTGAAGTCAATAACGCAAAGTGTCTGGCCTAGCTGAACACCAGACTTGACAATGGAGCCTCTCATCTATCAAAACACAGAGGCCATCTTTGAGCAGAGCTTTGCTAAAGGACACATAGTCACACAGGAGAACATCCTCATGAGTGAAAAAACAATGCCAGGAGAGTCTAGTGTCTCCCGTTACTGTGTGATGGAGCGCAGAGCTCGCTGAGAATGTGTAACACATTAGCTCCTGGGTTTGCCTTGCGTGTGAGAATTACACAACTGTCTATGTGACAGATGAGAGTGATGTCTACACTGGGAATTTCTATAGTGGTTTTCCCAGATAAATCACATATGACGTTTGGCATCAGATCAAGTCTCTCTAAACTAAACCAGATGGGTCTTACTTCAGTCTTTTTGATATCGCAGGTTCATTATTTGCGTTTAGTCAAAAAATCATCCTTACTGCCTCCCTGTTGTGATGTGTTCTCATAAAATGTAAACTTCTTTCTATTCTGAAACCCACTTGTCTGCTATTGTATATTCCATTATTCATGATTTCATAATCTCTGTTTATACCTTGAAACTCTTGTGAAACTTTTTACCCACTTTTCCCTCATCTCCTCTTTGTT